GTCAGATTTTATATTACACATTAAGCTAAGCATTTGCTGTGATGTTCTTGAGTATGCGGTGTGTTTAACACAGTCAGGTTCAAATGTGGCAGTGGCGTAGCCACGAGGGATTTCTGATTGCTTAAAAAAAACAAAAAAAACTTACGGAGGCAAAATATATTTTTTACTGATTATGTGAATTACACTGCGCAAACCAAAGTAGGCTACTACCCAGCGAAAGAAAACAGACGACAGACTGCTCTCTGCTTATGTCATCCGTATGAAATGTGCATTTCTCTCTGACGCGTTCACTACTGAAGATCGCGAGTCAGCATCGTCAACTTCATCTTAGCCGACACTGACAAAGAAAACTCTTGTTTATTAACAAGTGTTTATTAATAAACAATTAAAATATCTCCTTGCTATATTTTACATATTCATAATCATTCCTTTTGCCGGTTCTTTGTGACAGCTTTTAGGTGCTTTATTGGCAGCGCCACCCTTACATGTGATGTGTGTGTGTTGTCCCCGCATTTAAAGATGGGACCCCCCAAAAATTAAATTAAATTAAATAAAGCAACATGGTAAAAAGATGAAAATGACTTGATTTTACTTTCAATTCCTTTTACATTCTCCAAGGTATTAACATTTACATTTTTCATAACTCCATGTAGGACGTTTCTGTGCATAAATGTAAGCACTGTGGCAGTAGATTAGTAATGCAATATTTAGAAAATCTACTCTTGTACTCTTGATACTCAAGTACTTTTAAAAACAAGTACTTAAGTACTTTTACTTAAGTAGACATCTGACTGTAGTACTTTTACTTGTACTTGAGTAAAATTTAGCAAGGGGTATCTGTACTTTTACTCAAGTAACAAAGCTCTGTACTCTGTCCGCCTCTGGTCAACAGGAAAAAAAGAGAACGAGAGAGGGAGAATGCTCAGTGTTCGAGTAGAACGTAAGCTCCAAATCTGACCGCTCGATTTATTTTTACCACTGGCAGTCAAGCCGGGCCCCACGGTGCTAATAACTTTGTTCCTCTCTGTCACTAGAGCAGCAGCATCCAAGTTTATTCTAAGAGGTCATTTAGCTCTCTCTTTTTCCAGAGGCTGACATATAATTTTTCAGGCAGTGCAGTTTAAACAGCACAGGACTTGAAGCAGATAGCCATAATCTTTTTGGGTTACATTTCTCCTCAAATTTAGGCCCTGTCCACACGGACACGGGTATTTTTATAACCGTGACTTTTTTTACGCGGTTCGGCCGTTCGTCCACACGAAAACGCACTGAAACCGAACATTTTTGAAAACCCCTGCCAGGGTGAGGATTTTCAGAAACGCCGGTTACAGTGTTGTCGTGTAGACAGTGAAACCGGGGTTTTTGCCATAGACAGTATAAGAAAGGGACAGAGCCATCTCATTGGAACTCAGTTGAGACAGTTGAAGCCCATTTTTAGCGATTTTTGAGCACTTCCGTTCCTGACGCGCAGACTCAGACCGACTCAAACTAAGCTTGATGACGTAAGCAACCTGTCTGACAGACGTTAATCTTCTAGTAGCTGTGCGTGAAAATTGCCAACGTTAATCTTGCAGAGACGGGGAACTTGAGCAAAGCGTTCTTTGGCGTGAGTGAGCAGGAGTAAGTATTCCGTTGCTTTTATGGACTCATTATCTATGGGCTTCTCCCTTGACGGGACGTCCCCCCGATTGCCTGCGAGCTTCTCCTCCTGTCTGTACGGTCATTTCTGTACAGCGCGACAGAGAGTCGAGTGGTTATGACGCAATCGTTAGCCTATTTTTACTAAAACTGTTTCTACGGGGCCATAATGTAACATAGAAGGTAATGGAGCCCTTTATACATTGTCGTGTTTCTTTAGAAATAAATAATGGACAAATGGAGTCTTTAAACGCCTCAGATGTAAAGTTATTCGCTGTCAAAGTGACGCCAAAATGAATGGGAGTCAATGGAAATGCTAACGCAAGTGAAGTTCTGCTACAACATGGCGGCACCCGGCCGGCTTCAACTTCCGGTCGATGGATTACCCCCTTGGTTTTTGCCTTGCGACGTCAGAGTGTGCGCCGTTATCAGCTGTGTTTGACATGAGATTTGCGCTTCTGATTGGCCAACGTGGCTTTAGGGTTAAGGTTTATATCGCCGCCTGCTGGCGTGGCATGCTCTTGACCGCGCTTGATTGCGTGTTTTTGCGTTTTCATGTAGACGGAGACCGAGCACGTGTGGACGGGATTTTTTTTTAAAACGCTGTAGGAAAAACTCCGGTTATAAAAATACCCGTGTCCGTGTGGACATGGCCTAAATAGCTAGAAATGATGATATTGGAGCTTATTAAACATCTAACCACAGTTTTTACAGTATGAACATCCACGTTTTCCCCCAAATGAGTCCTTACTACTGTTGACAAATAATTCCCTTCTCTCAGAAGAGTGTTTTTGGCAGATGAAGGCTAGGTTTTGAACTCATGCTCGGTCCCATGTAACTCATTTTTTTTTTTTTATAGAAATATATTATTATTGCACAGAATGTACCTCGTGAAGCAATAAAAATAATACTATTTTTAAGGAATATCTATTTATATGTTTTAGTTTAAACCTTTAATTTAAACCACTGCTGTGCAGTACAATTGTTTGCCAAAATATGAAAGCAATTATTCAAATTTAAATTGTTAAAATGTTATGCATTCATTTGATTACCACCATTTTTGATAATCATTTTTAACACAGAATCTAGAAAAATGTAAACTGACAACACAGAATTTCTGGGGGGAAAACACTATTTCTTAGGGTACTATTATTGGTAAAATTAAATTAAATAGGAAAACATTAAAATAAAATAAAATAGATTTCATAGGGCACTAAATGGTCCCATTTTATATGAGATGTCTTTAACTACTATGTACTTTAATTGAAAAATTTAAATTAATTGTTTGGTGCAATGTGCTTACTGATGTTTTCTTAAGGACGGATGGGTTTTTTATTTTTATTTTTTTATTAAATATACGTATAATGTAAGAACATGGACAGTATATACAATAAATACATTGTACAAAATGATTCATTTAAATGTTAGTATAAGTTCCTCATGTTCTATTTTGCATAAATGTCTGTTTTTTGTTTTTGTATATGAAAGTCAATAGGGTCAAATGTTGTTTTGAATTACACTGACTTTTTTATTTCATGATGGACAAAACACTTAATTTATTAATCATTTAAATAAATATCTTCTTCCACCAAAGAAAGAAAGTCATTTTGGAATGAATCTAGGTAATGGATGACAGAAATACATTGTTTTATGTGATTCCAGGGTAGGCCATCTTGTCTGATGTGAACGACATCAATTCACATTTAAAAGTGGAGTTGGTCAAGGCACGCCATAATTCTTCAGCTTTAAAAGTGTTGTCCTTCCTTAGGTATGACAGTTGCTCCCGCTGAGGTTGACACAGCTGTCTGTGAGAGTCTGGTGCTGCTCTGTGAAGCATGGGAATAGAAAAGGTCAAAGGACACTCGCATTTCAGTAGATGTCAAAACAGGTGCTAGCAATTGAGAGGTAAACAGCTTATTCCCTGTCCCACAAAGATGCTCAAAATGACTCTTTGGATACAGATAAATACATCAGGAAAAACATATGATATTTATCTATATGGGTAATTTCAAATTTACTTTTCTCACTTTTCCCGTGAGAAGCATTTCTGTCCCTGCTGTGATATACAGTATATAAATTCTATAGCTTTTGAACTTTTTCACATGCATTTTTCCAATCAAAAGTAGGCTACAATTTCAGTAATTGAAGGCTAGATATTATTAAACAGCGGACCAATGGTCATATGGCAGGAAATGCACCTCTGACCCCATCCTGTCACTCCTTAAAAGACCTACATGAAACAGACAGGGTGTCAAAATGGGATATGTGTTGGTCCAACTGGTGTCAGCAAACTCATTCAAAACTGAATGAACGTGTGTGAGCCATGGTGGTGGTCAGTCAGGGTAAAGTTGGGGTAAATAGGTAAAAACTGGCATAATTACACAAAGGATATAGGTGTGTGAAAATCAATACATTAAGGTCTATTTACTGCAACCTGGAGCTGTGACATGTGAGCCACTCAGTGTTAAGGAAATAATCCACAACAAGTCATCAAATGGATTTTTTGGGATCATATTTTATGTCAGATAAAACTCTTAACATATAAAAGGGCACATTAATTTATAGGGCACATAAAAGGGGAACATGTAGTAACACATTTATAGTTTCAACATTATTTGTTCTTCAGCTCGTTCTCTTTCAAAAAAAAAAAAAAAAGAAAAAGAAAAAAAGAGTCAGCTATAAAGTAAACCATATTTGGGTTTTAACCACTGAAAATGTGCATAATTTAACAATTTACTCTTAGAGCTTTTTGAGATACCAATATTTCCTGGATTTGATTATGGATTCCAAAAGAAAAGTTTGTTAAGAACCAAAATCTAAAAGGATATTAAGATCTCGTTAATAATAGGGCTACTCTAGTTACAGGCATGCAAACTTCAGGCAACCCCCCCCCCCCCCCCCCCCCCCCCCAAAAAAACCCAGAAGAAGTGCTTTTTCCCATCTTTTAACCATTAGCAAATAGCCTAATGCAACAAACATCGCTAAAGTCAACAGATTTTGTTAATAGACCTACCAATATTTGTGTATGGTGTACAAATAAAATAATGATGCTGCCAATCTTAAAGACTTTTCTACACCTGTAAGCTGGCTCAAAATCTAATAATATTGACGGAAACAAGAAAAGGCACGGAACAGCATTGGTCTTAAGATGTCTTTAAAGTTTAAACAAGCATAGATAAAAAACTTTTTATTCGAGGTCTTGTTTGTTTTGTTTTAAATCGAATATTAGCTATTGTGTTTATGTTGTTTTTTCTTTGTAGATTTATTGACAACAAGCATTTGAATATCAGACAGTTGGAATTTTCCTGAGCAGCTGCGCGCTCTGTTACTTCCTATCTATGTTTACTACAGGGCAAGATGGCGGCGCCCATACAACCCACAGCACGGAGCTCGTACAGTTTTTAAATCGAGCTGTGTTTTTCGAACTGTGTTTACTTTGAAAACACATTTACCTCCAACTGATATATCGAACGTTTTTTTGGTGGATCGTGTACATTGTATAAGTTCATTTAACTTGTTGTACCATATATTATTGGTCTGAACTGCGCAGTGAAGTGTTCACGAGCACTCATGTATGTTTAGATCTGCTGGTTAGCGTGTAACTATACACCATAGATCGATCCGTAGACCAAACACGGGGAAGATATAAGCCCATTAATGCCTTTTAGTAGATGTGAAATCAGGAAATTGAAGCCATCGCAAGCATGCGGTGTGTGAAGGCACTGCAGCTCACCCTCGCGGTCGTCAAACCAGATGCTGTGGCCCATCCGCTCATTCTGGAGGTGAGATATGCTGTTTAATGAACACCTCTGTCCGATTATATATATAAAAAAATTTAAATGGCATTGCCAACAAACTAAACGTCCATTTTCAGGATACCTGATTTTAAAGATAATTTTGTAAAATTCAAATAAGCTTTACAGATTTTTTTCATGCTTGTTGAATGAACCATAAACATTGTTTGTACATGCATCTGTGGAACAGTCATTAAGACACTTACAGTTTATAGGTGGTAGACAAATAAAGTCACAATAACTTAGGACACTAAAGAGACCTTTCTACCGACTCTGAAAAACAGCAGGAAAAATAAACTGCAATGTCCATAGTGTAAGACGTCTAAGAGGGAGACAGGAAGGACAACTGATCATTTTTGCAGTGCCAAACCACACTTAACCAGATTTCCGCCCAGACGAGTTTGAGAAGTGCCTTCACTGCCTTGGTAGAAGAGTCGGATAACATCTGAGAGTAAGAACTGGTAAATCTGCTGCAGTCCTTGAGGATTCACTCTAGCAGTTTGTGCTACGCCAAATACTGACTGCTACTTTTTAGATTTAAACTTTGTTCAGGGACTCATTGTTCCATTTCTGTTCATTAAATGTATGTGAAACGTGTTCAGGTTATGTTTCAGATGTTGATCTTTTTATGTTCAATACAAAAATGTACACATGTTAAGCAATTTGTTAGAAAAAAAAGCAGTTGAATGTAAGAGGAGGTTGCTGAGTTTGTGGCAATGAAAATGGCATCATTAATTACCCTCATGTGGTTTCAAAAATAACTTTCTTTCTTCAGGGAAATGAAAAAATATATATTTTGAAGAGTTTTGTATCCAAAACAGTTTTGGTGACCATTGATTTCTGGTGAAATGAACAAAAAGCACTAACAAAATATCTTCTTTTATGTTCCACCCAGAAAGATCATTCATTTTTTATTTGGGGTAAACTATCCCAAAATAACAACCCTTTACATTGATTAAAGGGTTGTTTGATAGTTCTGTTACCATATGTTTCATGTTGTTTCACTGTTTTAAATTTCTTGAAAAGCCCTTAAAGGCACAATATGTAAGTTTTTTCCGCCACAAGAGGGCGCAGTTTCCAACAATAACAAAGGCGTAGGTTTATGACGCAGTGATGAGCTGAATGATGGGACTTGCTGTCAAGCTGATGGATCTAATAATGTTTATGGATGAGTGCAAACATTCAGGTTTTTAACATTACAGTGGTATGAAGCAGGTCGCGATTGCTAAAGAGACAGATATCACACGCGAGTCCTGCGGATATAAAGAAATAAGGACATTTAATTCTACCAAACTACCCACAAGTGCTGGATTACTCACACAGGTCAGTTTATTAGACAAATTAAACTTGTGAGGTAACGCAGCACTGCTTCACTTGGTCTAACGTTACACTATCACACTAAACGGCATTTAAATGTGTGTTGAAAGTTATAATGTTATGCTACGGGTTAGTTCGTTTGCTATACGAAACTAGCAGTAAGCTAGATGAACATTAGAATAACATACTGACCATATTCTAACATTTCATCATGTTGAGCTAACGTTATATAACATTGATTTGTTTAATGTACATTTGCTCACCTGTCTAATAAAGCTGTCAAGTCGTGACTCGTGAAGCTCTGTCAAGTCCAAGTTAGTCGCGGACGTGGAGCTCTCGACATCTCAAAAACGCCACTCTGATATTGATCCTCATTTTAGTTCTCCTTGTTTGTCTCCTTGTTTGAAAGAAACAAGAACTGCGTGATGCTAAACGTTACGCACTACGCAGTTGTCCACGTCTGTCGCCATGGTTACGTCATGGCTATGGCAGTATGAACGGAAACCGAGGATAGCGCGGATATTGCGTCATTGACAGGCGAAATTTTTTTCCGGGACGGCCACTTATTTAAAATTGGAATTTCTCTGAAATAAAAAATCTTTGGAGACTTTTGGGATATTGTAAGTACACAACTGCAGGAAATATATCACACTGTGCAAGTGATTTTTGGATATTTTATTACAAAATTCTTACATATATTGTACCTTTAATTGCAGTAGCACCTCATTGCAGTACACGAGATCCAGGGGGCGGAGTTGGATCCAGATCTAAGGGGTGGAGATGGGTAGGATTAGGGGTGGGGTTAGGGATCAGGGGGTGGAGATGGGTAGGATTAGGGGTGGGGTTAGGGATCAGGGGGTGGAGATGGGTAGGATTAGGGGTGGGGTTAGGGATCAGGGGGTGGAGATGGGTAGGATTAGGGGTGGGGTTAGGGATCAGGGGGTGGAGATGGGTAGGATTAGGGGTGGGGTTAGGGATCAGGGGGTGGAGATGGGTAGGATTAGGGGTGGGGTTAGGGATCAGGGGGTGGAGATGGGTAGGATTAGGGGTGGGGTTAGGGATCAGGGGGTGGAGATGGGTAGGATTAGGGGTGGGGTTAGGGATCAGGGGGTGGAGATGGGTAGGTTTAGGTATATGTAAGGTGGGAGGAGTTGGATCTGGATCCAACTCCTCCCCCTGGATTTCGTGTTCTGCATTGAGGACCATTTCCTTAATTGGGCTGTTCTAACATGATAGTGTTTCCCAAACTAGGGTTCATGAGTTGACAAAAAGCTAATGATGAATTAAATAAATAAAAAAATAAAAAAATGAAAATGAAAATACAAACAATTAACATGAAACAATAAAAAAGATTAAATATTTTGTTCACCTGCATGCCTTGTGAACAATTAACATCAGAGAACTGTGGTCATGCAAATGTTTTGTTAACTTATTTAAATATAATATTTTTAAATCTATAAATCTTAGGTGGTACTTTAAGTAATAACTATTTTATACGGTATATATCCCGAACAACAAGTGTGATAACTAGCCCTGGTCTCCACATCCTGCGGAATGTTACTCTTTTAATGAAGAAAGATAGTATGTAGAGGCTTAAGGCTACATAATAATTTGTCTTTACTATTAAAACATTTTTTAAATGTAAAACTCGCCTGATTTAATTTCCTCTGTCTGTCGCTTCAAAGAGATAAAGGTGCCGTTAATTAGCAACAATTTCCTCATGCAACATGGTTTGAAAGCTGAAGCCCAGACTGCTTTAATTTACACCAGCGGATTCTAAATTAAATGTTTGTGTTTTCATTAGTCTGAGATATACTTTCATCACTCAGCCTTTACCCTTGTTCTTTTGGGAGATTACAACTCTAAATTAACCCTATTTTTTATTTTTGCTGAGATCCTTTGTCATGTTGTTGAGGGAAAAGATGAAATGAAAAGCATACAGCAAAACTGCAACAGGCCAACATTTTTTAACCACCAAGAATGAGTTTTGGTTTAAAGAAAGGCAGATGGCCATTGGAGCACAGAAACATTTTAATATATTATTTATTTTAATTTCAGGCTCTTCATCAGAAGATTCTCGATAACTTCATTATAATCAGAAAGAAAGATCTGATGTGGAGGACAAAGGATTCAGAAAAGTTTTATGCTGAACATGCAGGTAGAAAAAGATCTTTCTTTCTATAAAATGCACTGCATGAATGAAAATGGTCTGTGTTTGTAACAGATTGAATGGTCAAGTACATGTGTAGGTGGGTGTCTATGTGATTTTAAACAGGGTGAGTCATAGTAAAGGCTTCACACAACCTCGAGATATAATGTTGAGACAACCTGTGGAGAGAGAACATGTTACTCACTCTCAGCTTATCATATCCTGCATCCAAAGAAAATCAGCTGTGTTGCATTTAGATGTCTGTATTATCTGTGCAAAAGCTTGCCTAGACCATGTTAACAGATTGCAGCAAAATCTGCTGCATAAACCACATCACCCTTGTTGGTTCAATCCTAGTGGATAAACTGATAAAAAGACATATCAAAACAGTCAGCAGGTTTTTTTGTTATCATCCCTTTTTTTTATTTTACAGGACGATTTTTCTATCAAAGACTGGTTGAATTCATGTCAAGGTAAACGGTTATTATCATTTTCTCACTAACAATAAAAGTGCCTACAATGCAACTTAAAGTTCTAGGCTAATAATAATTTTGTGAGAGAAAAAAAAGAACAATTATTTGATATGCTATATCTGCGAAGGAGCCATTAGCAAGTATTATAGTATTATACACAATAATTTACAGGTTTGTGGACATATTTGTATATATTGATTAATTAAATTAAAACTGTAAGGTATAGTAATAAAGACCACAAATGATCATTAAATAATAGAAAAACAAATCTTTCTTTTAGATTTACTTTAATTGCTTATATTGTATTTATTATGCTGGAAAGCACTTTGGTCAACGAGTCAACGACAGTCGTTTTAAATGTGCTACAGAAATAAAATTAGTATTGTATTGTAGTTGTATTTCTTGTTTTATATAATACATGGATCCAGCATTTAATATAGTATATTTGGGCTTATTATTTGGCAGTTGTTCCTCTGTGGCAATTACAAATGACTTCAGCCAAAAATATTTTTGTATCTGTATCAACACTTTTCTAAAATGTGTTACTATCATAAAACTAATTCTAATTTGCATCAGCATCTGCTTGTGACTGAGCTACAGTCATGTTGCTCGTGCAGTGATATGTTTGACAAGGTGTGAATCGCTGCTTCTTTATTTCCTTTCAACAGTGCCAACTGGGTTTCTAAATTGCCTATTTTCTTAAGCAAACCACGATAGCCCATCTTTCTTTTGTGTGAAAAGTGACACTGTCTTGCCTTGTGTCCCATCATTCCACAAGCAAAACAAACAACTTCCTGATCTTCCTTTCTTTTCTCCAAACAGTGCCTTGCAATGTGACCATCCTTTCCACATGCGTGACAGACAAAGCTTTGAAGAGGTCTCTCATTGTCTTGACAATGTCTAGCAATGTGACCAGCTTTTCCACATGCTTAGCAAAGAATAACACCTTCTGGATTTATTCTTGCAAATCTCCTTGGTCTATGATGGAAACCATTAGACAATGTAGTAGAACATTCTCTCCCACCAAAGGCAGCAACTGGTTGTCTAGATTTGGCAGTTTTCATTTGACTATTTGCATTAGCATTATTGTTGTAAAACTGTGTCATTTTACCAATAATGTCATTATATTCAGAGAGTGGTGTCACAAGCATTGTCACAGCAGACCGGGTGAGTGGGTCACATTTGTTAATCAAGGCAGACTTGAAACTGACATCATTCTTAGTAATATCAGGATTGCCACTGAAAGTTTTAAACATCTCCAATAATCGTTCCTAAAATGCTGCTGGATGCTCCCCTTTCCTCATGTGCATCTCAGATATTTTATCCCAATCAACTGACATCACACCTAAGACTTCAAGCAGTGCCTTTTTCCTCTCTGACTTATTAGCCTTTCTGTCCTTTACTTTCTGAGTTAAGGCTCCAGACAAAGTGTCAGGCAAGCACATTCTATACAAAACGCACACATCACCATCTGTCAAATTGTCCAAGTTTTTCAGAAAATCTAATGGATCTTGTTCGGTAGGATCAACTTTACCAATATTCTTGATCACATTTTCTAGTTCAGTTGGATAGAGGTCATTGGTCCTTCCATTCCTTCTCTAGCAGGCATAGTCGTGGTAGTATGGACTGGTGCCATGGGAAATCATCTGTCTTCCTGCAAATCTGGCATTTCTGGAACTGGGTTACACAATGTGACACCTAACAATGTCTTACTACTGTTTTTCTCAGTTGGGCCATTCTTCATAAACTGACAAGCCGCCTTCACTTCCTCCAAATTGTTGGACAATGTTTCCACAGATGATTTAAGCAAACTATTGTTAGTTCTAAGAAGTGCGATCTCATTCTGCATCTTGACCTTTTCTTCTTTCCATATCTCACTAGCCAGGTAATTTTTTGTAGAAATTACCCCAACACTGAGTCGCTCCTTTTCAGCATCCAACTCATCTACTCTCCTCCTAGTTACTTTGTATGAAGCAAAAAGTGCTTGAAGTGCTTTAGCAATTTTCCCATTTTTGTTCTTAGGCATTTTGGGATCATTTTCAAACTTAGAGATAGCCCACTTGTATGGTTTATCAACAACATTCTCTATTCTGTCAAACATTCCCTGAGAACCGTGTTTAGCGATGTATTTAACAATAATTTCTTCCATTTTCAAAAGTCTTATCGGCTTTAGATTATCATCGGCACGATAGTGTGACAAACTCCATCCCTCTCTACATTTTTCCTGGATGGGGGTGTGTATGTGTGCAGTGCCTAGGCTTGCTACGGTAGTCGGTGTTACCGGTGTTACACGGTGTTCAGTTGCAACACCGGTTTCATCACTTGCCCACCGCGGCACCGCAAAAAAAATAATATATATATATATATTTAACGCAATTACGCAGTATTTGAAGATCAGAAAAGAAAGGAAGATCAGGGTGGTTGGGGCGAGAAGGCCACCATTCAACCCGAAAGAAGTCATATAACCATTTCAATAACTCTGAAGCTGTTCAGTTAAGCTAAAAAAACTGCATAGAATCCCTTAAATCTTTGTTAATCTTTGTTTTTGTAGATCTTTCCATATGTAGCACTTCCCCATGGACCAGTCCATATATTTGTATTTCCACAAACTTCTCCCTATGGGTTGTGGCCTCCATTAGTGATGCACGGGATGTGGGCCCCGTTAGTGATGCGACTTGTAACCCGCGGGAAAGAAATTGTCACTTTACTTGCGAGTCATTACATTTTATTTTTTTTATCCATGTATGTTGCGTGCAATTTCCAGCCTATATTAAATATTTGGAAATTTCTATTTTCATATTTTATTAGGTTCTTTGATAAGGTTACAATACGAATGCCTTAGCAACATAACTTGAGTGATGTCCCCAAACCTTTGGCGTCACGTGACACGTCACGAAAGCGGCGCGTAAAGCAGCTCCCACCGCCAGCCACGACAACAAGAACGGAGAAATAAAAGTGAAGATGGAAGATGAGGTGCGGGAGAAATTAAGGTCGGGAATGTACATATTTAAAAGAAAAAAAAGGTCAGGCTGCTAAACCTAATGTTTTGGGACCGGTTCTCAGAAATAGTTGCAGCAGGAGACAACAGCAGTATCGGCTAAAGTTACGTGAAGTGCAACTCGTGTGAAAAATATACAAACAGGAGAGCCACAAAACGGGCATTTCCAGCATGTTAAGACATATTTGTACAGGGTCTAAGAAATAAAAAATGGTTTAGCCTATTAGATGAATACAAACGCTGCTTTGTAAATGTTGAAAATGTTTATTAGTATCTTACTAATGACCTGATTTATGGTTCATATTCATAATCGTCTGTTGTTGCCAGTTTACAGGTCGATGTTTCCAAGCACTTTCTGGCTGAAATAAAGGCTGTTATCATTTACATTACAACACCTAGTATGTCTATTTAACAGTCGCGGGTGCGGGGCGGGTTGTAAAAATAGATACAGTGGTGCAGGGCGGGCCAAATAATTTCATAAAAGCGGGACCAGCGGGTTGGAAAAAAAAGCCGACCCGCGCATCACTAGCCTCCATATCATCCCTCTCCATTGGACTAGGTACGCTTCCCCAGCGTTAACACTGGCCATGGCTGAAAACAAAAATGGGAATAAAGAACTGAAGCACCCTTCCCATGGAGTAAACATACTATAGGAACAGCAGCTACTACCATCTCCATGATAAACCTTGTCCCTTCCATCTCATTGGCATGGAAGTCTGTTATTCTTTGGGCTTACATGGGCCACTGGGTAAGTTATATGAGAGCAGTTGCCAAAAGGGCATGCTACAACTTGCCACCATTTGCGTCTCCAACACTCTTAACAGTTCAGTGGCTGTGGCACTTTTCATAGGGACCCCATTTGTCAGTCTTCGACATAACGTTGAACGTGACTGACAGATAGGGAACTTCTTGGTTACTGATGTAACCCTCGGAGATGTTATGTCCCTCCTGCCACAACCCTCAACCACCCAGCTGAATGGCCGGGCCTCATCTCGGGTCATCAGCATTAACCTGAATGCGAGTATTCCACTCGCTAATTCCATTGGTCGTTTTTCTCCCAAGTGAGACCTCGTTTGTCAGCAACATAACGTCTCCATTCCCACCATCAGGGAACAAGGGATACATCGGTAACCGAGACTTTATGTGTATAAATTGTTAACATTTAAGCTATTTTGTAAATAAGTTCATGGTTACACCTGTTTACAATACTGGGAAAAGGAACAACCGATGTAGAAATTCTTCGAATTTTATGTTATTTGACTGAACATGATTTATGGAGGTCAAAAGTTAACCTAATAACAACTAGCTTCAAGAGTCTCGAACCTTCAGAAATCAATTTCATCAAATCACCCTTTGAGTGGATTATCCTACAGGTTCACAGACATTTTTCATCAAAGACATTGGCATTTAAATTACTGCATTTAGAAAGAATGGAAAGAAATAGATATTTACATATCTTTTTGTTCTTCCTGAATATTACCACATATACTACAATTCAAAATGTGGGGTATGTACATTTAAAGAAATTACTACTTTCAAGTGACAAATGACAATAAACACATGTATAATGTTAGAACAGACTTAAATTTCAAATTCAAATAAATAGTATTCGTTTGAACTCCTGACGACAAATTTAAGCAACACAACTTCTATTTCAATATTGATAATAATAATAAACGTTTCTTGAGCAGTAAATCGGCATATTAGAATCATTTCTAAAGGATTATGTGACACTGAAGACTGGAGTAATGATGCTGAAATTTCAGCTTTGCCGTCACAGAAATAAATTAAAATTTTAAAATATATTAAAATAGAGAACAGTTATTTTAAATTGTAATAATATATCACACCAATATTACAGATATTATCTCTAAAACATTCTTTCACAAAAATTCTTACCAACCCCATACTACTGATGCTGTATTCTGGACTACCCCTCTTTCTTTTGAAGGGAACAATTAATGCAGATATTAGATCTGTGGAGAAGGACATCAATGCTCGTTGTTAATGTAGCGGTTAATCTAGTTTGGACAGTGAGACGAGACCAATGTTACCATGGCACCCTGTCCTCAGTACGTCTTTGTCTGTGGAAGATAAAACATTAGTGCCGCACACGTATTTTAGTCTACGTCAGAGTAATTTAAAAATAAGCCACTGATTACTCCTTCATTTTTTTGTTCCATTTGCGTGCCGACTTAGTGCCACTAAGTCATTACTAGTCTTTATTGACTAGGCCTGTATGTACGGTACTATTGACGTCATAGAAGAAATGATCACACTTTTCTGTTTGAATTCAATTCTATTTATCCATCTAGGCAAAGATAAGGTTGTCACAGCTCTCTGTTTAATCCTGCTATTAACATGAACTCTTATTCCCACAATAGTGGCCCAATGAGAGCGTACGTCCTAGCCAGGGAAGACGCTATCACTCACTGGAGGGGGATGATGGGTCCTACAAAAGTGTTTAGAGCTCGTTTCACTTCACCAGACACCCTTCGAGGCCAGTACGGGCTGACTGACACCAGAAACACCACTCATGGTTCAGGTAGAGTAACATGGACTATTTTGATGAAGATTTTCAAGACTGAACAGTTAACTGGGTGAATAGACTAGATCAGGGGTACCCAGTCCTGTTCCTGGAGATCTACCTTCCTGAAAAGCAAACACAACTGAACCAGCGTCCTAAGATCTTTGGGAGCACTTTAATTACAGACAGGTGTGTTGGATTCAGGGTTTGATCTGAACTCTTCAGGTAGGTAGAAATCCAGGAACACGATTGGGCACCCCTAGATCAACTAAAAGCTGGATTACTCTGCAATGTCCCTGTCCTAAATTATATCTCCATTTTTATCAAATAAAGACTAATTTCTTAACAATTCTAAATACTAATAATTCTTTCTTTCAGATTCTGTTGAATCAGCCAAGAGAGAGATTTCATTTTTCTTTCCAGAATTCAATGCAGATGAATGGATGGTTATGGAGGAACCACGTTTTAGGGTTGGACTTATTGAATATAATGAGGAGAGACAAATTCATACTCTCCAGAACACGTGATGATCTCTAGGCTGATGGTACTTCTGCAGTGCTACATGAATATGACTTTCACCTAATGTTTCTCTTCTGCTGCATTTTATTATTTATTTTGATGTTACTCTTTTGTGACTACTAAATATCTGTACTTCACCTCTGCCAACATTATATTAATTTGCATGTGTTTTATATATGTAAGCTTTGCAGTAAAGGTCAATAAATATTTTCATCAGCATAGCAAACTCTAAGCTCAATTATAAGGACTTTTCAGGTAACAATAATATAAACAAAATAAAAGGTTTTAAAACATTCCTTTCAAAAAAATGTATTAAAGAAAAAATAAAATTTGAATCCAAACAAGAGCTATAAATTTCTGTAATGATTGTTCAATGCTCAGTGGACACTCTCTAAAGATTCCCTTTATAGTGGGTGGTTTTGAGATTCCTTTTTATGTTCACCCCCAAAATAAAAATAAAAATATACTGACAACTATATTATTCTATAGATTACCTGCTAATACTTTACAGTAAGGTTCAATTCATTAACATTAGTTATAAGTACTCAATAAACAATGCATTTTTAAGCTAATGTTCATTTGTAAATATTCATTGATAGTTTAGGTTAATCATAATAAATTATTCAAACAATATTTAGGCCTAAACATATTCAAGATTTAAATGCATACACAATTTCCAACCATTTTGATTGAGCTGTTTTAATATTTAACTTAATGTGATGCATATTTGACAGTCATACATAAACAAAACAAGAAAGAATTAGTTGATAACGTTACTAATAAAAAATATGTTTTAAATACACAATAACCAACTGTACATACCCTTTAACTGATTAAATACAATTTTGTTCAAAATTACCTGAATTAATACTGATTCTAAGGAATTTGAATAAATACATTTTGAAAATTTGATTAAATAAAAACAAATAGATTTGAATATGTCAAAAGGGTACCTAATGTTATTATTTAAATATGTTAGTATATTTAGAAATTAACAGTAACCTATAATAATAAATGCTGTAATAGTATTGTATTCATTGTAAGTTCATATTACCTAATGCATTAAGGTTAATACATAGAACCTTTGTATTGTAAAGTGTTATCAATTCATTCTGAGACTGGACCAAGAGAAAGGTTAGGATACAGTAGAAGTTATTATGCGCTTTCAAAGTACCGCAATAAATATTTAATAACTCAATAAACAGCATCTTCCAGTCAGTAAAGCAATCAAACAGTATTGGAACAATTGAATAGAGGTTCTCAATCTTGCACACTACCCTTTTTACAGTATAATGCTAACTTGCTACAGAAACTGTAATTAGGTTTTGAACAAATGTTTGCTCTTGTTAAAAAAAAAAAAAAAAGGTTTGAAGGCAACAATTGTGTGGTAGTAAGTGTACGGGATATACAAAAAAGCCCTGATTTTCAAATCTAAAATCAACATTGAAGCAATGCATCAACTTCAAAAAAACAAACTACTTAAAAATACACTTGTGTTGTTCCTATGTTTTTAAACAATGTAAATATATATATTTTTTCAAAATCATTCAGTAAGCCGAGTCAAGTGTCCACCTCTCGATTACCCTCCCTGATCTATCCTGTGCTTTCAGTGTATGTACAGCAAATGCGTTTACTAAGATTCTTTTTGTTGGCGTCAAAAAAAAAAAAAAAAAAAAAAAAAAGAGAGATCATTATGACATAGACGTTACAAGGGAAAATTGTACATAAAAATAAACATTATTAAAGAAGAATGTGACTGAATGATGAAACAAACAATCAAATGACCCTTGAATGAAACCTGGTAATCACTGATTAAGCACAGATGAACTTGTTCATTTAGGTCATCCCTGCTTTTTACTTCTTTGGTCCATGACATCTTCACCAAAGCTCTCAAGAAATCCAAGATACAATCTTCACGAGGTCTTGCGTATCCACCTCATTGAGGCACTGAGTCAACTGCCTTCAGACAATCCACCGGTTTCATGACCTCATAGGTGGTTTGCGATGTCTCCTTGATCTTCCCGCTCTTGTCCACTTGCCGTATACTTTGAGTCACAGTGATGGTCACTTGCTTGGTGGACATCCTGTTGTCCTGCCATTTTGTCTAATGAAGATGACATAGAAAGATTATCAGACATGACAGATACCAAATCTTTTTAACATTTTACTACAGTTTTCCCTCTGTTGCTTTCACAATTCCTGAAACCTACACTATCCCTAAAGAACCTTTCAGTGAACAGTCCTTAAGAGAACCACCTTTTTCTTGGTGTGAAGAATATTTCGTCTTTAAAGAACCCTTTGTGCCAAGGAAAGGTTCAATTGATGGAGCTAACTTCTTTATGGAACCATAGAAGCCAATAAAGAACCAGTCATTTCTCAGATAAATAAACAAAAGGTCATATCCTCCTGGGACCCAAGAATAGACTTTTGTCCACTGTAGCGGACATTATATTTTAGTGAATTTCTCTGACATCATACATGTCACATGACACAACCTGGGTGTCCTGTAAAGAGCGCATTCAGGACTTTTCCGAGATACCAAATGTTTGGAGGTTTCACCATGAAAACAACTTCTCCTTGGTCTTTAAAAATGGCTGACATTAATTTAGTGATCAAATGTAGCATTCTTATGGAAATATGATAATATATTGTAATTATAATTTAAATTGGACTACTTTTTCAAATTGTATTTCATAAAACAACATCTCAGGAAAATGTTAAGGGGTTTCAAAAAAAAAAAAAAAACTTTGGCATTGATTTCAAACGTGTCCACTGTAGAGGACATCAGGACTAAAATCATGTTTATCAGGCATTCTGGGAGACACAACAAGTGAATATGGAAATAAATTATGCATCAATATTCCTATGAAATATTAGATATTATTATTAAAATGTTGCCAATTATTACACTTATTTTTTCGTTAAATGTTGCTCCAAGAACACATTAATGTGCAAATCAGATACAGTGTATATACATTGCATTGAATGGGAATATTCATTTATGGCCATTTTAGCCACATATTGCAAAAAGTAAAATGCTGTATCAATTCATTACATTATTTCTTTCATACCATAGTTTAGAATAATCTTTATACAAATTTTAGTTGAAAAAATCCTGAAACCCCAAAATTTATTGGTGATTGAAAGAATAATCCCATTGTTTTTGCCTATACATATAAGTTCATGTCATTTTATTTTTTAAACAACTTAGTCCTGGCGTCCACTACAGAGGACATAGCATAACGTATGAATAAAACATTATTTTATATATATGTTTTTTTTTTTTTTTCATTTGTTTATTGTGCTCTAAACAGTGTGATGACATGGAAAAAAACTAAATTCAAAAAACGTTTTTTTTTTCTGGGTCTCAGGAGGATATAAACATATTTTATTTCAGAGATGGTTTCTCTAAATTGTCCCCCTGAACTGTCAGAAAATGTGAAAGCCAAACAAGCTACAAGTCTATTTTAATGTTCTAATAAATTGTTAGTTTAAAAGTGAAATACTGTAATGAAGGCTGCTTAAACCAAATTAATGATAATTTCAGGTTGAAAGGGCACATAAAACTGAAAAAGTTGGAAACACTGATTTATATTAGTGTCTTGTTCACAAATGCTAGGTGCAGAAGATTGCACTAACCATTACTTTGGATAAAAATACTTACAATTTCCTCAGTTCGCAACACACTTCTCTTCTGTACTGTGGTCGCAGAAGAAGACAGCACTTCCTGCTCTTGAGAAGAGAGTATTACAGGGGTGGTGCCAGTTTTCATGTCATTCAGTCCCACCTCAGACATGGCAGAACACACTTTCACATATGCCTGACCCGGAGCAGGCAGACCATCATCAAAGAGATCTAATGAATCAGATACAAATATGGGAGTTGTTCATACTTTTGTTATCAAAATCACTGTAATAGTGATCATCATATCAGAAACATTTCACAATCAGATAGATCTATCCATCCACCCTTAAAACATTTTTTTTTTTTTAAAGTTATTCCTTTGCTGAATTTTCAGCATCATTTCTCCAGTCTTCAGTGTCACATGATCCTTCAGAAATCATATATCATTCTAATATGATGATTTAATGCTCAAGAAACATAACTATTATTATCAATATTGAAACTGTTGCTGAAGCTGAATAAAATTTTCATGGAAACAGTGACATACTACCATTCAATAGTTTGTTTTTAAGTGATTTTTTAAAGAAAGAAAGAAAATGAATACTTTTATTCAGCAAGAATGCATTAATTTGATCAAAACCAACAGTAAAGACATAAAATATATCTTTTTTTTCTTTCAAATAAGTTTATATATACCGACGTCTTGCTTACAGGGCTAAGAATCTTGAAACAAAAGAAGACCTAGATGAATTACTCTAGTAATTTACTCTAGTAGTCATAGTCAATGCCATGTTGTCTATTTTAATAATCTGCTATCAGTTTATTTTAATATTATAATTTAATTACTGTAGCTGCCCCAAGTGTAACCATTCTGCACAAAGAGATAAGGAGTCCTTATTGTGTTCATCCTTGCTCATACTGTTGTACTGAAGTATTGAAGGGATTCAACCATCGCCATGGCAACAAGAGACCTACATGAATGAATTGCACACCAACAGCAGACTAGCAACACTTTCCGGTCCTTTTGGGAAGGAAATATCATATGAAGGTTTTGACGCGTTAAACTGGGGTGTCTAAGGTCAAATTAGATATTTAACTTAAATATGAAGACATAGGCCTAATTCAGATTTGTGTATTTTCAAAACCTTTTAAAAACGCCTCGAAGTATGATCTCAGTCCATTCTCACCAAGGTTGGCAGTTTTCTCTGATGGGAAGCTTGCCTCTGAAGAGTTTTCTGAGGGGATGCTCTGGATGGAGGACAGGGGGATGTCTGTGTCTGTGCTTGCCAGCCAAGTGGACTCTGTCTCTTTGGTCCAGCTCTCCATATATCTTGGCTCCAACACATCTGTCCTGGAGCCTCCACAACCCATTATGTCAAAGACAAATCCACACCTACACAGCCTTGGATTCTAGGTCCATTAGAATACCTCCCGAATGGCAAATGGAAAAATGGTGTTCATTGCACGAGTCATTGGCATCTTCTTTCAAGCCATAAATGTTACGTCATTTAGCATCAACACCCATTTCACCATCATTTTGTTGCAATAATCGGTAGTCTTCCGCTGGTCAGGTGACAGGTCATGCAAACATGGAGATCTGGGACTAATTCTGTGGAAGACAAAAGAATAGGCTAGCCTGTTTGTAGTGATCCTAATCCTTTAAAATAATATTTCAAAGTTAAAGTAATAAATTTAAGGAATTAAGATTAAAAAAAAAAATGTTTGGTAACACTTTATTTTACAGTGTCTTTGTTAGCTACATACATGTAGCCTAAGTAGCCTACTTGTTGTTAATTAATATTACTCAGCCTACTTAATTAGCTACACTGTAACAATGACACTTTATAATAAATGGTAACCTTTTTTTCTTATAATTATATTATTGGCTTCAGGAATTTCGCATAACACGTCATATAACCTTAATGAGTGATATTTGAATAGGAAATAAGATGTATTAATAACCCGTATCCAAATTGAGTAGTTCAGCCCTCGCAATACGCACATGATGTAAACAAAGACGAGTTTAAAATTGCCTCTGGTCCAAATAATAAAGAAACCAATAAACTATATTCAGAATAGATTCATAATTTAATTTAAGCGATGTACAGTTAGTTTCCCCTGTCATGCAATCATTAATCGATTGATAATTTATTACACGAGTAGCCTATCATTGTGTCGTGGTGACGGCGCGCTGCGCTCATACGGAGAACATAATAATGTGCAGTAACATGCATTTAGTATGCGGTATAGGCAAAAATGTTTTCAGTCCTTCAAATGTGCTGAATGCCTTGCTTTTGGTCTTTCACGCGACAAAGATTTTTTATATTACCTTAAGTCGACAACAGAGGAATCAGAGTCAAGAGTCGAACAGTTTTCTTCGGTATCCGTTCACAGTATTTAATACTCTTTTCAAAACATAATTTCCAAAATACGTAGAGGAGGTCTACCGCGACGGAAAAAAACCCCCAAACACTGAATGATGATGACACTCCCCCATCTCTCTCTCTCTCTCTCTCTCTCTCTCTCTCTCTCTCTCTCTCTCTCTCTCTCTCTCTCTCTCTCTCTCTCTCTCTCTCTCTCTCTCTCTCTCTCTCTCTCATCTCTCTCTCTCTCTCTCTCTCTCTCTCTCTCTCTCTCTCTCTCTCTCTCTCTCTCTCTCTCTCTCCTGATGTGAATGATGCTGACCCTCCCAGTCCCATCTTTTGGCTAAGATTAACGTGGTGGTCTATGTGTGGTACAAAGTGATTTTGGACATTTTTTATGCCACTTAAAAATCCACCCGTTGACCCGTGCAGCTTGTGATATTCCTTCCTCTCTTCAGACTGAAGACATACAGTGGTATTTTTGTTATTGAAGACAAAATAGTTGAGCACTTCTACAGTTTACACTTCTAAAATCGAGAAGAAAATTGCACATTTGCGCATGGGTTTCCTGCTTTCCGTTGTAAGCAGCTGTTTGTTATTTGCTGCTGTTACTGTGCAGCATGAGGTCCATTCCATAATATGAATTAATGACATTTACAGGAAATTGCACCATGAGTGAATCAACATTTGATTCTATTCCTAAAGGATCTGCCTTTTTGATAATGGCAAATGCATTCCTACTGTTATTTAGATGAATCATTGGTAGACGGTATAATGTGCAACACTGGAGGTTTCAGCTATTCTTAACCATTTGTTCATTGCTTCGCTATTTAGTTTGTAAATAAAAGTAAAGAAAAAAGTACATTAAGGCTACTTGCACTAATGCATGCCCTATCTCTTTCACCTATTTAAATAAAGTGATCAAAATATGACAATACCCATCATGAAATGAAAATATCCAAATTGTTGGCCATTAAATATTCAAAATATTTTTTCTTTTCCTTCAGTCCTGACTTCCAGTCATTTCTCATCTCAACCTGCAACAGAAAAGACCTGTCACTCACATGCCAGTATCACCATAACAATCTGGTATCCAGAGAGTCGCCTGCTAACTTCATGTGTGTTATTCAATAAACTCTGTTCTGATGTTACCGGTGTCTGCACTCTTCTGTTCCATGACATTCGGTTTGGAACAAAATTGTCAGTTATATGTTTGTATCCATGGACTTTTAGTTTGCTTTTCCATGTTTCCTATGTTTCATGCCACTCGTTTGTTAAAACGACTGATATTAAGATCTACCTCTCCCAGCTCCATCTTCCTTCGCCTACTGTGAAAAAAATGAGGGAGAGAAAATGAAGACAGATATTTGAATGCTGCAGTAGAAATCTGGCAACTGGCTTCCCGGTCTTTAGCCCCACGTTGGTGTAAGGACCCCCTGGCCCCACCTCAGGCCTCTGAACACATGACTCCAGCCCAGACAGCAACATAATGTCGGACCCAGATCCGGCCCGCATCTGGTACACGTGGATTCCACACGGCCCAGATGTGGGCCGGACCTTGGCCGACACTGTTGCTGCCTGGGACTTCAGGCTTTTGATCCATGTTCCTTCGTTTCCACCGTGGACAGTCATCCCACTGGCTCCGCCGGGCTCCCTCATCCCTCTGGCTCGTCCCTCGTCCCTTCCAGGCCTCTGGGTGCGCCTCAGCTTTCCACCCCGCAATCGGGCTCCAATGTCCCTCTGGCTCCACCATTGTCATCTGCTGCTAAGCTCCACCACGGTCTTCCTCTCTCCCTAGGTCCCATGAGCTGACAGCTCTGCCTTGGCCCTCCAGACCTGTGGTTTCGGCCCCTTGGCTCAGCCCAGGTCGGCTCCACCTCTGTTGGAAGTCCCCTTGGTTCCACAGAGACACACACCAGAGGCTCCTCCCTCCGCTGGTTCCACCGTGGACTTTCTGCCCCATGGCTCAGATGTGGGTTGCTCCCTGGCTCCTCCCTCCATTTCCGCTGGGTCTTCCTCAATCTGAGTTGCTCTGTGGTCCCTCCATCTGCCGACTCCCCCGAGGGCTCTTTCTCCTGTTCCCCCAAGGAATCTTTTTCCCACTCCTCCATAGCTCTTCCTCCTGTCCCTCCTCAATGGACCTTTTTTTTTCCCGCCCCCTTTTATGAGACTAATAATAAAACGGCTGATATCAAGATCCACTTCTCCCAGCTCCTTCATCTTCCTTCGCCCGCACTTGGCAAAAATGAGGGAAAGAAAATAAGACATTTATAATAAGAAAATAAGAAAGAAATTTGGCAACTGACAGTGTTTTCCTTCAGTAGCCAAAGAGAAAATAAAGACAAAATAGCTGTGTCCAGTTTTATTATAATAGCAACAACCATTACAAATTATCAGTCATTTCTGGTTGCCCAGATCTCTACATGAAGTGAGACTATGTATGGCTATGTAAGAATATGTATGTTTGAATGCACTTTGTAAAAATAATCATTTATAAAAATTATATCCCATTTCTGACCCCGATGTGCTTTTAAAATGATTGTGTAAAGTATAGAAAACTAAAAGGATAAAAGTTGGCTACAGTGTTATAGTCATAAAACATCTGTCTGAAAGTATATTACATGCATATCTCAGCTCTTTTATGAGTTTGTTCTGTTCTGGAAAAAACAAGTCATTGAATGTGCTTGAACACTGACCTAGACATCTGTGAATAATAAAGGGCAAAATGTTGTAAACCATTTATTAATCACTGTAACCTGCAACACTAACATATGCCATAAAATGCTGATGGGAAGCAATTTAATTGGGTTTTAAAATTAACCACACAGCCAGTAAAAGGCTAAGTGAGAATAGCAGTTATACGAGTCCTGGTTACATTAGGCTTTTTTTCACCAGATGGGGGCAGTGCAGACATTGTTATAAGATCCAAATATTAAGTTCTCTATAGTTATTTTATTTTGCTCAAGTAATATTTCTTATATATTATGTTGAAAACAGTGGTGCTTCTTATTTTTTGTTACAATTGTGATGCATTGTTTTCAGGATTCTTTGAATAGAACATTTAAAAGAACAGAATTAGAAATAGACATATGTTTGGTAGCAAGTCTTTACTGATTTTTGACCAATTTAATGCTCATTGATTAAAAGTATGAATTCTTAAAAAACAAAAAACGTACTGACTCATGTCAAAAGCCATGAACAAGATTCGCCAATTGTTAGTTGATGTTACTTGTTATATTGATGTTAGGGGGAGGGGTATTCTAATTCTAGAAAGCATTTGATTGGACAAAATTCTGTGTAGTGCAGTATGAGTCATCAATATTTTTGGATTGATTACCTAGAAGAAAAAGACTGAATTGTAAATATCCATAGCTACTTTTTTTCTTCTTTTTTTTGAAAGTTTAAAAGTGCATGCAAGCCACTAAACTCTCATTTTGGTGTAATGGGGTCTTTAATAGCAGAAAATCATTACTCAAGCTCATATCTACTTCCACAGACTTGTTGTATTGTATTTTTCTGACTTGTTTTTTGCTTGTTGTTATCCCTCCAAATGCAGCCCCCTCTTTTCAAAGCACTTTCATTGCAGTGCAGTGGTGCAGTTGACTTTGAAATGAATAAAAGGAAACTTCTAGCTAAACGAAAAAGGGCAAACATGGCATTTTAAACAAGCTCTCTCTTTTTTTTTGTTTCATCTGGCCAGAACTGTTACTGTTCTCACAATAACAGTTGCCCACTTTATATGCCGTGAGAGTAACTTTAGTTCCCCACTCTATATTTTGCTTTGTCAAGGTCCCCGTGTCAGCTAAGATTCCCATCAAGACTAACGTCTCCTGGCAGAATATACTCCACTCTTCTGATCCCACAATTTTTCGCTCAGTCGAGCCAAGCTCAGTCCACACAACGCTGGGAGTTTAAATCCACCTCATCCATCACAGCCAGACCTGATGCGGTCGGCAGTCGGCACACACACACATATAAGATATATGAGGAGGAACCAAACTAAATTATCTCACGGCCCTAAAACAGGATTAGATGTGAACAATCTTTAGCGATATCGGTCAATATCGGTCCTTGGCGGATTTTTTTTTATTATTATTTATTTTTTTATGTATTAGTATTGGTAGATATTGAATATTTAATTGTGAACACTCATTTTCTCTTATTACATTTTAGATTATTTTGACCATCATCTAAAGTCAATATTTTAAAACACTAATAATGTACACTAATATTAATCAGTGTTTTGATGCTAAATGAACTTTTAAATGTTTA